TATGTTTAATTTTTCTAAAATTAAAATTACAATAACTATAAAAAATTAAAAAAATTAATAACTATTTGATTGCAGAAAAATTTATCATGCATTACATACTTATTGTATGAATAGATATAACTTGTTTCTTAATTTCAAATTTTGCCGCACTAGCCCCGACTACCCTATTGTAAATCCAGTACTGTGTGTATGTATGTATGTATGAATGTATATATGTATGTGTATATATGAATGCATGTGAGCCGATTTTGACCTTTTGTCAAAGTTTTCTCAAAAACCGCAGGACTGATTTAAAAATTTGAAAGCCATTCGATGTAATCTCGACAAGGACTCAGATTTACAAGCTTTGTGCGACGATCGGCCGAACAGCTTCTTTGTAATTAGCAGTAAAAGTGCAACATTTTTCGTGCACGTTTTAGTATACAATTTTGAACCGATTTAGCAATTAAAAAACTATTCGGAAGATGTAAAGCTACTGATTACAGTTTACGCTCACACGAAAAGATTTTTAAACATGGAAATGGATGTGTTAAACAACTTAATTTTATTTATTCAATTCCTGATATTATAAATATGTTCGAAAGACGCCAATTAAAAAACGCACTAATCATCTTTTTGTGACAATGCTACTTTCAACTAGTTTACGTATGGACGTCAACGGTAATCAGCACTTGATATATAAGTATAAGAGCGGTATATAAGCGGCGTTATTCTATACTTAATAAATTTTATAATTCAACCGCTTATCTTAGGCCTATAATATTTGTGTTAGTTCTTAATATGAAATTTAAAATCACATAAAGTTTTATCAGTATAAAATCCAGAATTGATCACAAAGAAACGACCCGGACAATCTTTGTCGAAAATTATTCAGCAGGATGATCAACTAATATATTTTGGATGATATTTATATTTAAATTGGCTCAGGATATTTTGCGATAACTTAAAGAATATTATTTTACTTTCTCATAATTCTGAAGAAATAGTTCGGCTGATGATGTAGCAAAAATCACGACACTAGTCTTTATTGAGTTTTTAAATTTTGGAATCGGTGCAACCGTTTTTGAGAAAATGTCAACGCAAGTCAAATTTTGGCTCACATATATACACGTTTTCTTCAATTTTAGTCCAAAACGTTTCAGTATGACTTGAGACGTCCAGAAAACATAAAATCGGCTAATGGGATTTTCTGACAAAAAGATAAGCTTCTTCTTTGGGATAATAAATGAAACTAAATAGCGAGCGTGGCATCGTGCCTTAATGTAAATTGCTGAAACTTTCCGTAGCAAAAATAAAATTTTAAAAAAGCTTTAAAATTCTGTGAAAACTTTGAAAAAATGAAATTTTCGAAAAATTTTGAAATTTTTTAAGGAATGACTAGAAAAAAAATGATTTCTTACTTAATTATTTTTTTGAAAATTTTGAACCTTTTTCCAAATCATGCTGCGTGGCTATTTTAAAGATAAATATCGAAGCGCATAAGCGCCGCGTCGCAGTCTA